AAAAAAATTTGGCTTACAAATTGTAAGCCACCGACCAAAAGGTAGATTCGATAGACTATTTATGAAGCTACATCTATTCTGAATTTATCTGTTACAAATATACAAATTTAAGGCAAGATATAAAAACGAATAAAACAAGAACATATAAAAAGTAACATTAGTAAAATGTGCATTAACGATGCATTTAGAATAAATTGTCTTGTAGGTAAGTGAAAAAATATATACTTTTCCGTTTCATGTTTCATGACTGTCATGTTTATCCCTTAACCTTAAACTGAAGCATCGGATATTTTTATTCTCGTGAAATCATATAGATACACGTAATATGAATGGAATATATAACACTTCATTTGTGTTAATAATACTCAGAATTCATGCTTTATCGGTAACGTCGGGTATTGACATTAAAATAGTAACAGGGCTACGTAGCCCTATGAACGTGGGACAGAAAAAAGCATTGAATGATAGGTCTATTCTATACCTAGTCGGTGATTGTACATTGTATATTCTCTTACGATTTTTTCATGTTCCACCTGGTGGCGGAAATTGGAACTAATTCTAGAACTTTTAATGTGACGCCATCTGGTGTCGATTTCGGGAATTAATCGAAACTGCTCTAGAATTAGTTCCAATTTCTGCCACCAGGTGGCTACCATAATTTTAGCAAAATCACATTTTTGCTGTTTTCCCGCGCTTTTTCAAATTCAAATTTTGCGCTAAATTTAACTTTAAATTTATTTTTAACGCGATTTTAACTAAATTTAACTATCATTTATTTGTTAATAGAAAATATGGGATAGGGGTACTGGTAGGACTAATAAACAATGCATGTGTATCATTTAACTGTTTTCTAATTGAAAAATCGTAAGAAAATGTACAATTTACAATGGTATTTGTATAAATTTAATAACAATTGCCTTAAATACTACTTATACATAATACTACTTAATATAAATGCCACGTTTTCGCGTGGCCGCCACACGATTAGGTTGCTTCTATTTTTGTTTAAAAGAAACATAAATGATTATTAATCTATACGAATGATACTCTAGGTTAGAATAAAATGTGCGGGAAGGTTCAAGGAATACCAGTACACAAATATGTCAACTGCCTGCCACTTGCCCGTGCGGGCTCGGTTGCCCATCACTGCCCAAGATGAAAGGACGTAGGCAGTAGTTAGTTTCCGTAGAAACCTGTAAAAACAGACAACCACAGTTTGTACAAGATTGTACAATATTTACGCAAAAGAAAATATTAAAGAGGAAAATTGTACTGTTCAAAGAGGCAAATATGGTGATATAAACCTTTTTCTAATTGTTGTTATCTTGAAGGTCTTCTGAAGGTCATCGATGGTTTTCTAAATGGCACCATATATTTTAACTTCATAGTGTAGTAGCTGATGTCAAGCTGAGTTCAATTATGTGATGCATTATAACCTTCAAATGCCCTAATACCATGGACGATGAGAATCTTAGAAAGCTTTACAAGATTCCTGCGGTTTTGCTACCCTGACTTGGAGTTATGAAAACTGGAGGAAGGAAGTAAATATAGTCTCCTGTTGCGTAGATCTTTCTTTCAGTCGTAGGATGCAAAGAAAATAAATGCATATAATAATTTCTATTTGTTCTACTATACCAATGTATTCAGTGTCGATCATTTCATTGTCCAATCTCCATAAGTTCCTGTCTTTTACTTTCTTCCTCGTTCAATACTGTATCCATTTGATGATTATGATCGCGGTCTGGTTGAAAGGAGACTGACGAAATACGAGCACGGTGAACGTATTACACACTGTAAACCAGATTCTTCGGACGAAGCGATCTCGGAAGAACTTCGACGGCCTTCGATGAAGAATAGAACCTGGACCGACGAAGTTACGATATTCACGGTCAACTACTTCGTTCCGGGAGTCGCGGGGCATGACTCTGAAAAAATCATTACGACACGTTATTGTCATCGAAAGACCGGGTTCTATATGGTCCGAGTGAATGGGAATAATATTTCTGATGAACGAATGTATTTTAACTTGAGTTTGAATAGAATAAAAAATCCAACTGAAATAACTATAGTTTACTATACCTTAAGTAACTATACTTCACCCTTAACTTTTCTCTAAAAAAATAGAAAATTTGTATGAATATTTCTGTTGAACGAATGTATTTTAACGTGACTCTGAATAGAATGAAAAATCAAACTGGAGTAACTATAGTTCCCATTTAACGTTACTATACCTTAAATAACTATAGTTCAACTTTAACTTTTTTCTAAAAAAAAGTAGAAAATTTGTATGAATATTTCTGTTGAACGAATGTATTTTAACGTGACTCTGAATAGAATGAAAAATCAAACTGGAGTAACTATACTTCACATTTAACGTTACTATACCTTAAATAACTATAGTTCAACTTTAACTTTTTTCTAAAAAAAAAGTAGAAAATTTGTATGAATATTTCTGTTGAACGAATGTATTTTAACGTGACTCTGAATAGAATGAAAAATCAAACTGGAGTAACTATAGTTCACATTTAACATTACTATACCTTAAATAACTACACTTCACCTTCAACTTTGACTCGACGATAAACGGAGTCGTTTAAAAGGGAGAATATTATCATATATACGTCTCAGTGAAATTATATTATGGGTCATAATCGACCCAGTCGTCTGCTGTAATTGCCTCTAAACATGTCCAGAGTGCACTAAACGAACAGAATTTTATTGTAAGCCGATAAAATCACTGTTTCACCCAATCGACAAAGGGTATTAGCTTTCTAATACACCTCGTACGCAGTTACTAAATCATTTAACGAACTATTTTGTTGCGGATTGACCATTGTCGACGTCAATTGTGACACGTTATGGGCCCAGATATCCTGGCTGTTGCTCCATTCTACATGCAACACAGCCGCAAAACCATTGCTGGCAGTTCTTGCTTCATTTCCATAATCTCGTTGCACTGCGTCTTATCTTTTTGCGTGCAACAATGTTATCTAAACCCCAATTCTGAAATTTACAACTGATCAACTTCAAACAAAATTCACAATAATTCGAAAGTATAAATAAATTCTATTCATGAATAATATAATTAATAATAATTATGTTAATAATTCGAATGAATGATAATGATCAGTAATAATAATATTTAATTTGAATAATATCATCCACCGATCTATAGAAGTACTGCTTTTTTATCTTTTCATCTTTTTGTTTGCACGTTAAAATAATAGTTTGAAAGTCATTGATGAAAATAATTTCGTACTAGCATGGCCTGCGCAAACGAGGGACTGGACGTTAGGCAGTATAATATATTGCGGGCCGCGGAAAAATATTATGGGAATGCATTCGCAGTAGAGACTGTCCTTCGGCCTCGAGTTCTTCGCTCGTTCAGGGTTGCTAAGTCGTTCGACACTTCCATACGCCTTTGTTTAAACGACGAGAAACTCTGTACAGAAGGAAGAACTACATTAATAATTTATGACTGCCAAAAGATCGAAATTATTAAAAAAAAAATTGATTACTGTAAAAAAACAGTGTATGCAAATAAATTTCTTGTCAAAAATGTAAGATAGAATAAAATAGATTGTTCTATAAAAAATCCTCAAGGTACTCTTAGACGTTACAATAGGTATTATATTTTATTGAGTTTAATATTTATTTTGCAAGAAATCGAATAATGATATGTATGAATAATATATGTATAATAAATTTGATTTGTTATCAATTTATTAAGAACATATAGATTATTCATTGGTAGACTTAAAAACAATTAAGGAATTGAAAAAAATTAATATTGATGCCCTATTCTAACACAAGTTCCAGATGTAAATGGATTTGATAAGTTTGTAAAAATAAGAGATAACCTGACCAATGGTAAGTATAATAAGAAATGGATCACGAGACAGAAATTAGAATAAAGGTGTTTATTAAAAATTATAGATTATTCATTGGTACACTTAAAAACAATGTGGAAATTGAAAAAAATTAATATTGATGCCCTATTGTAATACAAGTTCTAGATACAAATGGATTTGACAAATTTGTAAAAATAAGAAACAACTTGACCAGTGTTGAGTATAAATATTAAATAGATCACGAGACAGAAATTGCAATAAATGTGTCTTCTCACTGTGATTAAAACCCTTTCCCATATGCAATTGTAGAGAAATGCGTCTCAGATGTAACTTCCTTTCGGCGTGATGTAACATTGCTTCTCACGTGTTGCACGAGTCACATGTGTGTAATTTCTCATATTAGTGACAGCCAGAAATATAATTGCGTCTGCTGGGTTACACTTTAATGAGAAGTGGAAAGGTGTTTTGAGTTCAAGAAACAATGATGATACCAACCCCCGGATAATTAAATAATATGTTTATTTCATGGGTTATGACATAAAACGAAACAGTGATTCCATTACTATAAAATAATTCATTAAGACCGTGATATGCTGACATTGTTAATACTTGCGGGAATTAACACGATCTCTATGACCTAAATGGTTCCACATGAAATTCCTTTCGAAAAAACCCTTTCAGCCATTACAATTCAATAACTAAAGAATGATAATTATTATTATGGAATTTGTTTATTACGGCTCTTTTCTGCCCGACTATCGAATAACAACTGAGTCGCTGTTTCCTAGCACAAACATCTATAACACAATCAAGAAAGACGAGTTTCTTGTTTTAAAATTTTTTCATTGATTACGCTGCACTTTCTTTATTCCCGAGCTGGTGCAATACTCGCGTAGATGTTCAAATAATTTAGAATTATTTTGTTCGAATTACAGTACGAACATTTATAATAGTAACAAAAATAGGAAATGAGAAATAATCTAGCATATATACCTCACCTACCCCGTGAAAAAACGATAAAAAATTATGCTTTCACGATCGATCACAGGGTCTCCGATATCCCATCCGAGCATCGCCTACGTGCATACTATATCCTTCCGGTCCAGGAGTGCAGGGACCTCGTTCAAATGCCAAGGTCCTGGGCGACAGAGGGGCCGAAAGGAGGGAGTATCCTTTTTCCTGGCCAGCTTCCCAGGCCGACGTGGGGCTAGCCGATCACCTCCTGGACCCCTCCAGGTCGTGGCCAACCCAACGGGCCCAAGTGGTAGGGGGCGGATGATCACCGCTATAAATGGTACCAACCGGCCGTTCTCCAGGAACACAAAACCGTCGGAACGGGGACTGGTCGCCACGAGGCTGGAGCGGAAACAAGCGAGTACTGTGCCCCCCCCCCTAGTCCAGCAGCGCTTCACGCCAGCCCGAGCAAACAGGGGGAAGAAAGGACCCACATTAGTCCTAGGACAGGAGAGAAAGGGACCCGTTTAGTGATCGCGTACTCCAGGGCGTCATGAGAGGCTTGGTGAGTACCTCGTCGCTGGACCCGTTCCGATCCGATCAGAATTCCCCCGGCGAACAAAGGAAAGTGAAAGGTTAGGGTAGACCGGGTCACTCGGCCGGGTCAGAGAAACGGCCCACGCGATTGATCGAACGAAATCACGGCGTAGCTTTAACGACGTCTTTAGATGATACATATTTGGATCGTTCAGCTTTGGATGATTGCTACCTACAGTTATACTTTATAGTGGTATCCGCTTCTTGTTGCCTGAAAGATTTGAAGATTTTTCTGTGTCAAGGGACGTGGGAAAGAAGTGACTTACGTGTTTATATTACGGGTTCATTTTATCGGCTTTGAAATTTGGGCAACGAAGGATTTGGACAAAATGTTATTGACTTCCATAAGTAGGAACCCGTGGTTATCAAATGATTCTGAGTAAAGTAAATTGAGAAAATATATAATTTATTTGATTGAAAAATTAATGATTTTTTAAGGGTTCAATGGTTACCTTTTTGTTTTTCTAGTCTCCCTTCGGGTAATGAAAACGGAATCATTTCATACGTGTAAGGATGATGCATGAGAAATGAAATAATGTTTTGGTCAAACCGTTACTCTAATCTTACCCATTCATGTCAAGTATGAATTAGGTATACAAGTCTCGTCTGGAAAATATTCCCCATCACTTAACGGGCCAGTTAGCGAATCCACTATTCGAAAAACTGGTGGTTATTTTCAGTCAATAACTAACTGTGGTGGCCACAAATTCATTTCCACACTTAGTCTATGTATGTGTTAAACGTTTAATTAATTACTAAACCCTAAACATGGATCTAGATAATTTTCTTGGCCGTGGCCGCGAGCTGCAGAGCTGGCTACATCAACCCATCTGGCTACCCCGAGCCCCAAATACATCCCCAGGCTGCGCCTCAGAGGTACGCACCACCGGCGCCGGTCGGACAAGACGGAAACGTGATCGATACACCGGAAGTCGCTCAAGCCAAGGCTGCTCACTTCGCCGAGTTCGCCAGGGCAGCCGCTAGGGCCGCCGAGGAGGCCAAGAACCAACCCCAACAACAGGCTGAATACCAACCCCAGGCGCCGTCGCAAGCTTATAGCTATCCCTCGGCGCAACCAACTGCAACGAACTACCTTCGACAACCGAGCTATCAGTCCCCCGCTCCTATCTACCAATCAGCTCCAGGTAATATTGTCCTTTCGACAACTTTTTGTGGTCCATTCTTCGGGTGTGTTGCGTTAGTTTCTGTGATTGCGAGATTCGTAGGTCATTCGTAGGACCTTCAAAGGACCTTCATAGGACCTCCAGAGAAACGGCATAGGTCCTTTACAGGACCTTTATATGACCTTCATTCATATTTCCTTCGTGGGTCCCTCATAGGTCCCTTAGATGGCCTAGGTAGGTCTTTCATATGTCCTTCATAAGTCCCTCATAGGGCCTTCGTAGGTTCCTCACATAGTCTTCATAGAACCTTCATAGGTCCTTCATATTTCCTTCATATTTCCTTCATAGGGCCTTCATAGATCCTTCGTAGATCCCTCACAGGTTCCTCGTAGGTACCTCGTAGGTCCTTCGTAGGTCCCTCATAGGTTCTTCATATGTCCTTCATACGTCCTCCCTAGGACCTTTATAAGTCCTTCATATTTCCGTTATAGGTCCCTCATAGATCCTTCATAGATCCTTCGTAGATCCCTCATAGGTTGCTCATAGGTACCTCGTAGGTCCTTCCTAGGTCCCTCATAGGTTCTTCATATGTCCTTCATACGTCCTCCCTAGGACCTTTATAGGTCCTTCATATTTCCTTCATAGGTCCCTCATAGATCCTTCATAGATCCTTCATAGATCCTTCGTAGATTCCTCATAGGTTCCTCATAGGTTCCTCGTAGGTCTTTCGTAGGTCCCTCATAGGTTCTTCATATGTCCTTCATACGTCCTCCCTAGGACCTTTATAGGTCCTTCATATTTCCTTTATAGGTCCCTCATAGATCCTTCATAGATCCTCCCGTAGATCCCTCATAGGTTGCTCATAGGTACCTCGTAGGTCCTTCCTAGGTCCCTCATAGGTTCTTCATATGTCCTTCATACGTCCTCCCTAGGACCTTTATAGGTCCTTCATATTTCCTTCATGGGTCCCTCATAGATCCTTCATAGATCCTTCATAGATCCTTCGTAGATCCCTCATAGGTTGCTCATAGGTACCTCGTAGGTCCTTCCTAGGTCCCTCATAGGTTCTTCATATGTCCTTCATATGTCCTTCATATGTCCTTCATATGTCCTTCATATGTCCTCCCTAGGACCTTCATAGGTCCTTTATATTTCCTTCATAGGTCCCTCATTGATATCTCCTAGAACCTTCATAGGTCTTCCATAGGTCCTTCCTCTTCGAAGTCTCGCAGGACACTGAAAATTTGTCTTTAGTCATCAGACAGGAAACTGAAATCTTAATAATGAACATAATATCGCTCTGGACCTAGTGGGTTCCCAGTGACTAGACAACTTCGGCACATACAATGGATACCCAGATCACATGACGCCTTAAAGACGCCTATTTTACGGCTATTTTAGGTCTAAGGCGCCTTTAAGCCGTCTTCAAGGCGTCACGTACTATCTGGGTAATGAATCTATTGTATTTTTATAGATTTTGTAATTTTCCAAATTTTGTACACACCACTTAGTAAACTACAAGCCTTCTAACTTCACGAAAAAAGAACTCGAGTTATTTGGTTCAATTAAAAACAAAATTGTTCTGTTGTAGAGAGGGTATAGAGACTTTTTTGACTGTAGATTAACTCTAAAAATTGTTTCAATGAAAAATTACAGCTCCAGCGCCGGCGTACAATCAACCAAGTCCGGTGTCCTATCAGCCCCAGTACAACAGCAATCCGAATTACATCGGTCAGCAGAGCTACGCGGCGGCGTCGAACGTGAAACCAACCCCGTTCGTTCCCGCGCCCCTCGCCGAGGATGGCACGGTGCTCGACACGCCGGAAGTGGCCGCTCTAAAGGCCGCCAGGCTGGCGGAACTCGCCGAGGCCGAAGCCAGGGCGTACAAGTACGCGCAAGAATACAAACCGGAAGTCCAAGGCCAAGGTACGTTCACGCCCCCTGAGATTATATCGTGAAAAATACCTGGACCAATCGTTGTACAGTTCAATGACTCCCGGTATTTTTCGTTGGTTATGAGGATTCGATTGTTTATATATGTTTCAATTAAATAGAATTTGTTATATTCTACTCGAAAACGTTAAATGAAAGATGTGGTTTTAATTCAGGTGGTATTTAAGATAGGTACATGTAAAAAATTGTTCTGCCTTGTTTTGTAGAAATTTTGTATGCTTTCAATGTATTTTATAAATAATTTTCAAGATAAACTTAATATCGTGATTATAATCGTTTCAATGAACATTTTCTATGATAATTGTAATTTCTTCTGGTATTAAGTAATTCTACTTAATTTTTCAATAAAAAATTACATTCTGGTTGATATTAAATTGTTTTAATAAGAAATTGAATTCTATTGAATATTAAATTTTTTGAGGAACTTAAAGTAATTCTATGATATTGAAATAGAAATGGAACAAAGCGTAAGGTCTTGTAGAAGTTGTAACATTTAAGCATTCCTCGAAGCACAGATATACATTTGTAACAGTCTAATGCGATGCAACAGTCGGACTGTTGCTCAACAACTTAATCGTTCGATTGTTCTGGTGGGAATCGCTTGCAGAGGCAGACTAATCGTTACGAATATAATCGTGAATTGGCTATTCTTCGTCACGAATATTAACCAGGGTCGTATAGGGTGGGTCACGAATCGCCTCGAACCGTTAACAAACTGTTAACAGTATTAAATAAATGAATATGAAATATACCTTTAAAAGAAAAATAATAAATAAAATATATTATTTAATTGAAGAAAACTTGTAAATAATTTAATTTTTAAAAATAACTAAAAATTGGTGGCATAAAGTTCCTTTCAATATTATTTAAAATTATATAGATGGGGTCAACTAATCGAATTTATATTATCTACTACATTGGTTACCTAACTTTTTCGATGGGAATGGTGTTTGTTTTATTACAAGAGGAAATGATGCTCAAGAACCGGTTTCTTTTGTTCCGTATTAAGTCGAGCACCACTCCCAAAAACAGCTTATGCATTTCGACACCTTCGTACGTCGGATTCAGACTGATTGAATTTCTTGGCTGGACGACATTTTAAATGAGATTTTAATTTACTCGACACATTTCCTAATTCACCTGCTCGCTCGAATAGACAGGTATTTCTGACTGACACGACCTTCTGCATACGGACGAAAATAGTATTCTTACCAATAAATATTTGTTATATATATTTTGCATTGTAAAATTAAACGTGTTACTATTATTGCCAATACTTTTGATATTATTACAATTATTATTCAAATATAATTATAGTAATAAGTTATTTCTTTTACTTGTTACAGCTTACGGTGAACCTCAAAGTGCTCCAGTTTCGTACAACGCCAGACAATACAATCCTGCCGCGGCACGAGTGTATCCTGGCCCAGGACAATCGTATCCCGCCCCACAGTCCGCTTACGGAAACGCTGCCTACCAATCGCAAAGCTATCAATCGCAACAATTAGGTGGCTCTTACTGATCCTGAAAATTCTACAAAATCTCGCTATCTGTACATAATCTAGGCCAATAAATTGTTCTTTTTTTTAAATATACAAACTACTTTTATTTTAACCTCATGATTCTCCCTATCCCATTTGAAAATCTTCAATAATAAAAAAGTTGACCGAAGTTAAGAATCAACTTGCTTTTGTAATTTCCTAAGGAACAAGAGTGAAGCAATTTTTTAAACATAATTCTTTCAAACGTTTAATAAGTGGATTATAGTAAATTAAAAATAAGTTAGATAAAAAATAATGTAAATATAAAATAACAAAATCAGATGAAAATTTAACCACAAAAAATATTTTGGTAAAAAAGAAACAATTCACATATCCGTTTCGAACAAACGAAAAAAAAAGTAGTTGTGAAAGTTGTTAAATAATATACGAAGAAAATTGTAATCTGCTCGATTTTTATTCTTTAAATAATTCTGGTTCCGTAGCATTGTAACACGGTTTTTTTTTTATCTGGCATATTTATCAACGGCAAGTAGGTCAATACGTAACAAACACGCAGTTCGAGAAGTCACTTGAATCTATATGCGCCACGCGAATAAATCGCGAACGCGTTTCGGTCGTACGAGACCACAGGTTAACCTACATTCGATTTCACTATACATTGCGGTTAGCGTAATCCAAGAATTAGAAAGAAATCCACCACTGGGATCGAAACAGCAGGGAATACGTACCTCTTCAGGGTCGTTTGCCACTGTCTTCTATCGATAACAAACAATCGATTATATCATTAAAAATTTTTGAACTGGGAATAAATAATACAGCAAAATTCAGAAAGGTAAAGATACATACACTGTATTTAGTATTATGATATTTTATCCGATGATACGATTTATTGCAACCTTTTTTGATGAATTGAAGGATTGCTTTTATGGAAGAAAGATACTAATGTATTTAGTACTACGATATGTTATCTGATGATATGACTTTCGTGCAATTTTTTCAGGAATTTAAAGTATTTCGTACATTTGTGAGAGAAAAGTACTAAAGTATTTAATATTAATACTACTAAAAATACCAAATTGTTTAATATTAATACTGTTGAAAATAGTAAAATATTTCGTATCATTACTACTAAAAAAACTAAAATATGTAACACTAAATTTAAAAATAGAATATAGACAAAAATGAATAGCTAGTCAATAAAACGATCGCATTATTTTTTACTAAACAAGTGATAAATCTTATTAGCGATTTACTACTGGAAAGTATAATTCAAGAAAAACAATAATTATAATAATAAGTATTAAGTAGTTTTACCAAAGGAAACGGTAACGAAAGTTGCGTAAATTGTGACTCAATCGAGATAAAAATCGAATTGGCAACAGGCAGAGGAGAGATCAGACGATCGCTCGATCGGATAAGAAACCACGACGTTTATCGTAAGGATTGTCTCGTGCTACTGTGGCTTCTATAGCCATTATTTCAACCAAAAGCAGGTCGTTTTATGAAAAAAAAGTAGACCACAAAAATAAAAAAAAATGTTACAAAACGAAGAGCGACGATTTAAGTTTCTTTCTTGCACCACCTCTGTTCGAAGTCGTTTTTTCTTCTTCTTCGATTTAACAATCGCCAGGTCTTACAAATAATCGTTATATTATCGATCAAAATTAGTTTTTAATTTTTTCGAAATTAAGGTCTCGGGGTTTTTATCTATTTTTTTTTTTTTTGTTTTAAGAAAGATTCAATCGAAACGGAATCACCTTTTAGCTACGGGCTGTCTTCAGACTGTAAATATTGCGACATAGGTCACTCAGCGTACGAAAGACGTGAGAAGAAACGAACTGGGGAACGGAGATTCGTTCCTCCTGAACGAACTCCAACATCGTGATTCGTCGTTTTTTTTTCGTGAACTAAAGGTTGAGAATTGTAACTTATTCGAACTGGCATTCCCGAGCCTGTGTGCACGTGAAAATATTATCAAAAGTGTCCCACCCTAGACATTCAATACAAAAAATTCATTATTCATAAAAGTAATACAAATAATAAATGTTTAATAATTCCGTATAACAATTTTAATTTAAAAATCATAATTTTTCCACTATTGACAAATTTCGAATATTATTGTCAAGAAGGTAACTTTGAAAAATATTTCTGGAATATAATTTTAATTTTTTTAAAAATACAAATAATAAATATTCATAAATAGTACTATTCTGTCTAAACATTTAAAATTAAGAATAAGAATTTTGTATATTTTCACTATGGCTAAATTCCTAATATTACTTTGTTATTGTGAGTTGGAAAAATATTTCTGGAATATATTATTTTAATTTTTTTTTTCTATGAATACAAAATTTCAAAACTTTGGTATGTTTGGAAAGGTTAAACGTTATGTTTCTCCGAAAGGGGTCAACCTGAACAATCAACCTTAATCCAATATCCTATAATCATATTCCATGCTACGCGGATTACATGTTAGAAGACCGAGTTTGCGTACAACTTTGCGCAACGGTTACTTTATAAGAGTCATCGACCCGATCGTGTCATGTTACGCTGTAAACAGGGAATCTGAATCTATACTAATTAACCAAGGTGGATCGGCAGGCTTGTTTCATCAATCTTCGATTTGTGTGACTAATTTGTGTATACTTATTAGGTGTTAGTATGTGCGTCTTAGGATTAAAATTCACATATTATTAAAGTGAAATCTTGACTATAGACTTAAATAAAAAATGATACTTAAAATCATTAGGTTATTCTTCTTTGAATATGTAAGTATTTAAATAAATCTTATTCTAAGGAATTGTGCATTCCTTTTAGATACAAACGAAGCCCCCCAACATTTAGTTTAATATTTCAATAGACACCAAAGGTATAAGGAGTGATATGTTTTTGAAAACATTAATTCCAAAGAATCATTTTGGAAAATAATTTAAATTCTTTATAACTATGCCAAATTTTGCATTTAAAAAAAGGATCATTGCATATGCGATAAGCTGATAAGAAAAATAGTAATCGTGTTTATAGAGAGAGAAAGTTAAATATGGATGAATTTCAAAGGTAAATCGAGTAGAGATTCACTGGTCCTGTGTATGAAAAAAAATGAATGTATATGTTTTTAGTTGATTAGAAAAAAAGTGATCGTGTTTATAGAGAGAGAAAGTTAAATATCGATGAATTTCGAAGGTAAATCGGGTAGTTATTCACTGTCCCTGTATCTGAAAAAAATGGATGATTGTATATGTTTTTAGTTAATTAGAAAAAAAGTGATCGTGTTTATAGAGAGAGAAAGTTAAATATCGATGAATTTCGAAGGTGAATCGGGCAGAGATTGACCAGTCCCGTATCTGGGACACCGTTTATAAGGGAACGAGAGCTCATCGTGGAAAGAGGACTGCCTTGGAGGGATCGATCGGAGGATCTATGATCCCGTCTAGTCGTCCGTGAATCAAGGCGTGTTTTGAAACCGCAGAAAAGTGCCGTCCACGTTGCACAGCTTCGTTTCTGCGGGCGAACAGGGGTGTGAGGTTGCACAGCCTGAAAGCTGACCTCGAAAAGTCGAGAAGTGGCATCAGGGACGTTTGAGGGCCATTTCTGGGTCGATAAAACATTTACTTCGATGAAATTAAATAAAAATAATTTGAGCATTTACAAATCAGCATACAATAAATGACTTTTCTATATGAAACACAGTGATCCAATTCTATACCACAAAGCCAATACGGGTCAATACTGACCCAGCCATCGGCACTAACAAACGTTAAATGTCAATGTAAATAAAACGGCAGAAAAAAATAAAATTTAAAGTCAATTTTAGTAATTAAATACATCCTGAAGAGAAAAATTTTAGGAAATATTATGATAAAAATTTTTGATAATTAATGTTTAAATTACGTATAGCGGGTACAGTAAATCCTCAATGACTGTTCAAAGGTTCCTCGGCACTGACAAGAAGAGGTTGCCACGTGTAACACTGACTTTGTAATAAGGTGTACCACAATGAGAGATGGAATTCTGAAATCAATGGTATTTGTTTCAGCCACATGTGGCTATTAGTTAATCAAATATTTATTATTCAGTGCCTAGGAGCCTTCGAACACTCATCGAGGATTTACTGTATAGAGTTCTGATATATTATTGTTGAAGTCTACGTGAATCTCTTAGTATAATTCCATGGTTGTAAGAACAATGTACGATTTCCTGGACAAAAGGGGGGAGAATGTTGGAGAATATACCGAATGGGATCACGGTTCGTGTCAGAAGTGAAACAATTAAGGTGTCGATTTCGTTTGAGGTGTGATCATCGTAACGTGGTTTCTCGGGGGGTGAGACCGCGACGCTATAAAAGCAAGATCGATCGATCGAACCTGATACACTCGTTACCAAGACGTCCGTTTCGTGGTCAGTGGTGTCCCGACAGCATGAGATTGTTCGTAAGTGGAACTCCGGATAATTCACGTGAAAATCGTCGACAATGAACTTCACTCCTTAATTATCACGTGTACAAAACTCAGTGATCTCAACTTCCGTCTTGCAACTGACCTAAAAAACAATCAGACATTAAAGAAAAATCCATCGAAACGATCAGGCATGATCGACTATTACTACAGACCTAGTTCTGGAGAGCCGAGCCAGAGTGTATTAAGTCACACTTTTCAAATTTTAGAGGTGAGAAAATCAAAGGTGCACAAACCTTGTAATTCTGAAGTTCTTTGAATTATTGAATGGACTTAAGACAAGTCTCCATATGTAGAAATGGTGAACATTGCATTAAGTCTCCTGTGTCATGGAATTTACACGTTTAAACTATTACATTAAAAACTACAGGACTTAGAACGAAATAATGTTTACCATCTGAAAGAGTGAAACATTTGATACGGAGAACATGTAAAATGTAATTATAAAAAAAAAATTGGACTTAATACACTCTGGGGTACAGATTTGAGGCTACCAGTTTCAAACACCTTCGAGCAAACAAATGAATAATGGTTACATTAAATATTTCGAGGAATTAATTATTCGAAATTTCTTTTTCTGAGATTTGATCATATTTCGCGATTTTTCAGACAGTCCTGGCTGCGTTTGTCGCGTCAGCCATTGCTGGAAGTTACGAGGACAGGGGATACTACCAGTATAGGGGCCCGCCAGCGCCACTATCGAGCGATGGCATGGTGATGGACACCCCGGAAGTGGCCCACGCGAGGGCTGCCCACCTGGCGATGCACGCAGAGGCAATGGCCAGATTGAGGAAGGCCCAGAACGACTACGAAATGTACGAGAACAACGACATGACGATGATGATGCCCAGGATGATGGAGGAGCCCATGACCCCCAAACGTCAGCGTCAAAGGACCTCCTTCGCGCCACTGGATCGCGATGGCCGAGTGATGGACACACCTGAAGTAAATAAAACAATTAGATCATTCATATCTTTCACTTACACATTTTTATATTATACAGGGTCAGTTAATAAGAACTACTATCTAAAATAACTCATTACTTATTGGATGTATCAAAAAGCTTTACATTACCTGGTTACCTATTGGTTGTATACAAGAAATTAAATATATAGCAGTTTAAGGGACGCATGGGATGGATAGAATTTAATTTTCTTATATGTTATGTTTTTTTAAGCGTTAAGGTGACCTTGAGTTTTTTGAAGGTCAGTGTATCATTTTTTTTTAATACCACCGTACTACAGATCGTTGAATTCGTCTTCTATTGGCAACAACGTGGTATTAAGAAAGATGCATTGACCTTGAAAGAACTGAAGATCACCATGGTATCTCAAAAAAAATTAGTCCACCTGGAGGTTTTCCAAGGTCAGTGTATTATTTTTTTAATACCATAATACTACAAGTCGTTGAATTCGTCTTTCTATTGGCAACAACGTGGTATTAAAAAAAAGATGCATTGACCTTGAAAGAACTCAAGGTCACCTTAATATTTCAGGAAACAATTTTAATCCATGTGTTCCTTAAATTGCTACGTAACTCATTAAAACGTTTTCTGATACAATCAATAGAAAACGAGTCATTTTAGATAGTAAACTTTATTGACTCACCCTGTATATCTTCGTCCCTAGGTGACAGAAGCGAAGAATGCCCATTTAGCCGCCCATGCCCGTGCAACGTCAAAAGCGTCCGAATTTTATGAATTCGACGTGTACGATGGTAGAAAGAATGTGATCTATTTGACGCCGTTGCGAGTCACTTATAAACACGCGCCGTCGATCGGTTACCGGGGTCCGTTCGCCCCACTGGGCCCTGATGGGCGCGTCGTCGACACGCCAGAAGTGGCGAGGGCGCGCGAGTCGCACATGAAGGCCCATGCACGCGCTCTCGGAATGTCCACGCACAATAATCTTTACTACTGAGGGGACTGAACGAAAGTTTTAAGAGCCCCAATGATCTTCAGGCGGAATGGGTATGTAGAGTACGAATCGAAATTGGTCTGGAGTGGTGATTCATTACAGTAAATCATCGATGAGTGTTCGAAAGCTTCTCGGCACTGACAAGGATAGGTCCCCAGGTGTAAAGCTGCGTCTATACTATATAACATAACAAGTTACAGAGCAAAGTTATAAAACTTGTCAAAAGAACAAAAAAAAAATATTATGTAACATTTTTCGTGATATCCATAAAGTGTGACGCCATTATTGACAATGAGATTAAACATGTTATATAAACTTGTTACGGACTTGTCCAAAAGGTGTAAAATTGTAACAAGTTATAAAAACGTGTATAGCAAAGTTTTATAACAATTGTTGCATAATACTCTTTTGTTATGTAGTGTGGACGCATCTTAACGCTGAGTGTTTAATGAGATTTAGCACAGTGATAGAGCTTGAAATTCTGAAGCCATTTCATTAGTTTATAAAATATTTAATGTGCATTGCCGAGGAGCCTTTGAACACTCATCGATGATTTACTGTACTAGGGTTTCAATTGATATCTTTTGGACATATTGCGGGTGAAGGATTAATAATCCATTTATCTGAACTTCATTGAATATATTATACTGTTGTAAGTATACTGTGGATGTTGATGCAACTTCACTTTTTAATTCCGGTAAAAATTGTTTATTGAATCGAGGGTTGTGTATTTCTTGTGACAACGAAAATGAGAAGTATACAGTTCGCGTTGTACCTGATTTTTTATGATTCACGGAATTACGGTCAGCTGAAAGTTAGATAAAACTCGGATGTCGAAATTGTGGAGCCAAGGTGTGTTTGTAAATAATTTTACTCAGTTGCTGATGTTGCAATCTGAATTGTATTGCCATAATATAATTCTAAATAGTTAAGGAACGTTAATGTAGATTATAAGTGACACATATATTGTCAATTCATTGACAAAATATAGGCAAAATCAGTTTATTTCTATAGCATATCATTATTCGACAGGAACACGAAGAAACGTTAGGAAATACTTGTTACCACCTATATGTATTCTTTATATGGTATTATCCTTTTGTGGTAGAATAAAATACGAATGTGGTTCTGTTGCTTTTGTTCTTTTTTCTCCTTCCTTTTCTCTGTTTATTAAACTTACAAGCCTACTCCTGTACCCATCTACCCATCTACCCATCTACCCATCTACTCATTGACTCGTCTACTCGTCTACTCGTCTACTCGTCTACTCATCTACTCATCTACTCATCTACTCATCTACTCATCTACTCATCTACTCATCTACTCATCTACTCATCTACTCATCTACTCATCTACTCATCTACTCATCTACTCATCTACTCATCTACTCATCTACTCATCTACTCATCTACTCATCTACTCATCTACTCATCTACTCATCTACTCATCTACTCATCTACTCATCTACTCATCTACTCATCTACTCATCTACTCATCTACTCATCTACTCATCTACTCATCTACTCATCTACTCATCTACTCATCTACTCATCTACTCGCCTACTCATCTACTCACACACCATTTACTTATATACACATCTACTCATCCATTCTTCCACTTATTTTCTCCTACACTAATTGATTTGTCCCTTTAGGTATCTACAATTTTATTAGTTCCTCTACTTGTCTATACATGTACCCACATTTATCATTACTCACCTATTCACCAGGTTACTTATTACCCCAGCAAAAATTGACAATTACTTCATCGAAAATATTCTCGCATAAATACTGTAGTGCAGCGTATAGAGTACTATTTCAGCCGTTACTAAATCCACATAGGCTCAACGTGCACTTATTCTGACATCCCACACCGTGCCATATTGCTCACGCTCGAATGTAGCTAAATAAGCGACCAGGTACAGTGGGCGGCGTCCAATGAGAAATCGAAAGGAAGAGGGACCTTGCGCAACGTGGATTCCACCCGATAAGAATGTCCTGAGACCAACCAGAATTCAGGGATCATGTTCACTATACAGGATGCATTAACGTTTCAACGTGGGCCTAACTACCATCCACTTAGCTATGATGACACCAGTCTCTGAAGGAATTATAAAGTCCCACTTGTCTTAGCAAAATGTAGGTAGTAAAAGCACCGAATACCCAAGTTGTTCAAAATCATCACAACAGTATCCCATGCTTGATACAGAAATCGCTACCAGGACCCATGAAATGATCCCCAGTCTGATCAGTTGAACAAGAAAGAATATTCTAGAAGAGGGACTATGAAGGCCCACCTGTCTTAGCAAAATCTAGGTAAGTATAAACTTTGGTACCCAAGTTTTTCAATATCATTGCATCAGTATCCCATATTTGATACAGATACTGATATCTAGACCCGTAAAATGATCCTTGGTCTGATCAGTTGAACAAAAAAGAGAATATTCTAGAAGAGGGACTATGAAGGCCCACCTGTCTTAGCAAAATCTAGGTAAGTATAAACTTTGGTACCCAAGTTTTTCAATATCATTGCATCAGTATCCCATATTTGATACAGATACTGATATCTAGACCCGTAAAATGATCCCTGGTCTGACCCCGTTGAACAAAAAAGAGGATATTCAAACGGTCCCTCGAGACCTGAACGTTCACTTTCCTGTCGGGACAAGCGCTAATTTCAATATCCACCGCGGTTAAACAGTCAATTACGGGCTGATCGGACCGCGATAAGAACCATAGAGAAACGGGCTCGCGATCCCGGTTCCCGATCGAGCAAATGATCCGTGAGTCGTGTCTGCTACCGGTGCGGGTCCACCCGGGTCGGAGAGCCTTGCACTTATCCAACGGCCAGACAACCGCGGATAGAACCGGTTCTGTCCGTGAGCTGGACAACGTAAACGCTGCAACGATATGCGCTAGACGGTAATTTGTGTTGCCAGCAAGGACGTGATTGACCGTGCCTGACGAGGAATGCGACGGTCCGAGGGTTCAAACGTTCATGACTGGACACGGGTGTCTAGTAATCGGAACTAACGTCTGTGCACGTCGTAATTTCAATTCTTATGGAAACTACTGCAGGGTACAACTGTCTTTTTTAACCAGTAAAACATTACAAAATCAAGAGAAACTAAAGGAATTGACCTTCAAATGACCTTGAAAGTAAAAGAGTGAGCAGATCTCCTGTATTTTGACAAATGAGTACTAAATCAAGAGAAAAAAAAAAATTGACCTTCGAATGACCTTGAAAGTAAAATAGTAAGCAAATCTCTTGTATTCTAACAAATTCGATAATATAAATTATTAAACTATTATTTAATAAATTATTTTTATTAATATTGAAGATATATAAAATGACTAAAGATGGTAAGAGAAGAATCCTCGAAGTTCTTTTTGTACCATTCAGCCTAAGTTTGGGGACCTTTTTCTATTCCTAGTTGTAGTAGAAATAATATAGACTTCGTAATTAGTGAAACACCTGTGTGGTATACAGTTATTTTGCTAACTGTGTACTAATTTTGACTGTGTTTCTATCGTTTCGTGGTAGTGCAGACTGAATGATGATTGATGAAAGAAGCTACTCTGGCGGATGAAGACTGTCCCCCCACTCCGACGCAGAATGACAAGAATGGGGGCGACCAATGGCGTTCGAGAAGGAATCAATTCTGTCGGGACGGTAATTCACGCGGTTTTCACGCCTATCAACACGTGTACGCGTGCACCTGGATTCCGTGGTTCAATCAGATTGGCTCTGACCACTTTAAACTCCCCGCTGTTTTCACTACCGTGTTTTCCGAGGCGAACACGTATCGATCTGATCCGTGTCACGGGCATGTTACTCCAACACACATGATATAACTGACTGATTGTAGAATCGATTAGAGCAGTTGTGCTCAGATCCCAACAATTGTGCTCACATCTCATCGACCATATCATTTAATAAATAATTAAAATATATTCCCATTTAAAAATTATCACTTGGAAATAGGTTAGGTACTTACGTAACTACCATTTCTCGCATTCTTTTATTAAAAGATTTTCGTTGACTTTTAACTAGTAATTTATAAATTGTACACAGTCGAAGGAAATGATAACACTGAATATCCTCCAGGAATAAGGTATAAAGGTTGTATTCCCCACGTACACGTGCACTTTCTTTGACTATTCGACGCGAAAGCGTTAAGGAGATCACCTTGAGAAAAGGAATGTGATAACATGACTGTTATAGAGGGCTGTATCTTAATCTGCATCTCTAACGGTACAATGCTCCGTTATCCCATTTGCATATCACATGCGAACGCGACACGTTCCCATTTCACTTTCGACAGTTATGACAAATCGTCAACAGCATACTATGACTATTCAATTGAAAAAAAGAAGAAATTTCTTTACAAAGTAAAAAAGCGTTTTTACAATTTTCATACGAAATAAAAAATCATGCTTGCATTTGACAGTTCGATTTTGTTGATATTTCGATGAAATTTAATGTTTTTATCAATATACCAACCAGTCACAAGCCATGGGTGTAGCTAGGGGGGCAGAAGGAAAAATGTGTCACCAGTAAAATCTTCCCCAGAGGGACAAAAGTGGCCTTTGCCATACCCGAGAGGGGAAAAATTTGGGTTTTGCTCACTCCCCTAGAGGAGAAAAATAATATAAAATTTTACTTGAGATAAATTTTATGCCCCTAACTAATAACCTGGCTACGCCCATGTCGCAACCTGTTCACAAGAGGTCTGACAAAACAGGCAAGGATGTGCTTCGAGATGGCAAGAAACATAGGAACTGACATCGTTTTCGCAAACAGATCCGTATATTTTTCTACAGTAGGCAACGCGGTACCGTTCGAGTCGACAAAGAGGTAGCTGAAACGCGATTCGAGATCGTAAGAAGCAGTCGCGCGGTGATAGGAAATAGTATGAGGTATAGTAAAATTCATTATAACAAGAAATAACGAGGAAAATCTGAAATGAAAATGAAAATATTCATTTTCTGATTTTTAAGAGTAGAAAAGAGAGAGCAAAATCTTTAAGTCGATTTTTCGATAGACTTGGTGCTCAGAGGTAGATCGAATACGATGCCTGTAGAGGATCTATCGATCCTCTAGATGCGTCGATGGTGGAAGAATGATGTGCGATTTTCTTGGAAGATCAGTATCTAGTATTGATTCCAATTGTTTTGCTGACCCCATTGATTGGATGGATTGTACCCGCCTGCGGGGTTCCATGAGGGATTATGGGGTGCTTGGGCCGCTGGGCCAGCCGGACCCACTGGGCCTCGTTGGGCTTCGGCGTTGAAGAGGGAGAAATGGACAGCCTTGGCCTGCTGCACCTCCGCCGTGTCCACAACGCGACCGTCAGGTCCCAAGGGTGCTGGCGGGCCGCTGAAAAATTAGGAAAATTCATTAATTAAACAAAATTAGTTACAGTAAATCCTCGATGAGTGTTCAGACGTCATCCACACCACTGGGCGCTTGACTGGTTCCACGGGGGATTCCCCCAGTGGTGGGGATGACGTCTGAACACACAGCACCGAGGAGCCTTCGAACACTCATCGAGGATTTACTGTATAATGTAAAATGACGGATAAGTTCGATAAATTTGCTGAAGTTTGTTTTATGTTTAGTGTCGGCAATTTATCATTAGAAAAAAATTATTATGAAATTGTACATGGTAAATAGATATTAAAAATATAAAAAATGTCGATAGTCTAATAATATAATATAAATAATATAAATCCTCAATTCGAAGTCATTTATCAGTTCTATATAGGTATATTGTAAATAAAATTATTTATAAATAAATATAGAAACTCGTGAATGACTTTCAATTTGTTGGATTTAAAGTAATACGGTTGTCTACGTGGAGAAATTCTTCAGGAATGAGACAATGTTTAAAACCTGTAATGGGCGTAGTTTCCAGGTGCGTAGGAACCAGCAGGGCCGGGATATGGTCCGGCGGGGCCCACTTTCGGTGCTCTAGCATTTGCGTCAGCTAGGGCAGCCAGATGAGCAGCCTTCAATTGCGCCACTTCCGGTGTGTCGACAACTCTCCCGTCTGGTCCTAGTGGCGCTGGTGCTGCGTGGCCGCCATAGCCTCCGGGATGACCACCGCCATACCATTGTGGCGCGCAGAAGACTACGTTCAAAATGACTGAAAAAAGTACCTGCACAATAAGCAAAGATTAATAAAGCGGATAGTAAACATTTATTGCTGCGCTACCTCTATTCTCATCAAATGAAATTGAATGAATATAAAAGTCTATTAAGTGTAATAAAAAAAGTAAGTCTGTTAAATAAAAAAAAATTGTCTCTAAAAATTTGTTTACTCAAAATTTATTTCTTCACCTATTACCAACAAGTCATCACATAAATAATGTAATTTTCTGTTTTAGATTAAATAAGCTAATAATTTGTCAATACAGATTTGACAAATAATCGTCAAAAGCAACGAAATAATAGTCTTGTTAAGTTTCAAATCAAATTTGTAAGTAATATCAGTTACAACCCAGATAGCACATTGAAGACGCCCATTTATGGTTACTTTAAGCTGTCTGTGTGCTATCTGGAAAGATAACCTGGAATTTTTACCACTACGAAAATTAAAAATACAATTATTCTTACAAAACAAATCTTGCAAATACAATATAAAATATTTAAAATAAATTTTGATAATACAATATACACTATTTAAAACAAATCTTGTACATACAATATAAAATATTTAAAACAAATCTTGAAAATACAATATAAAATATTTTTAACAAACATCAAATTATTCTAACGAAAAGAATTATTCTGTCAGTGAAGATTGTTGAGTAAGCCTGTGAGTGTGATATAAAGAAAAAATGTACTCACGAGGTAGTGCATCATCTTGTCCAACCTCAGGGTACGTCGATCCAGCGACTACTGATAGAGGTTTAGATTCGCAATATGGCTTCCACGATCGTGGATCGTCCAATTTATAGGGGTACGGGACCGTTGGCTGTCGCCCCACCCCATTGCAAGCCGGCCAGAGCAAACGGGGTATAACCACACCCAAGAAAATCTGCTCTCCTTAAGGCTGCCCTGCCCCGTAACATTTACCAGGCATTAACAATGTGACACCGTGTCCCGTAACCTCGTCAGGAATAAAACTCACCTCCCAGCAGAGCTATGCGACACGCGGACGTACGTCATCGCGGATGCAATTCCGACGTCCTCGGTATTTATCGGGGCTAGAGTTCTCGAATGGGTGGGATTACTATGAATGTTCAATGAAAGTGCTTGGTTAACTATTTTCGGGATGACTGGTATCCCCTTCCTGGTTCAGTGAATTTATTCTAAATGGAAATGCTCTGGAACATTAAGAGAATAATTTTACATTAATTGATAGAGTAGTCAAATAATTTTTTTAACAATTAATATATGTTAGTTTATTTTATAGAACATTAAACATAATTTTGTAACATATAGATCATTGGAGAATAGATCCTCAAACTATTTCCGAATGAAGTACAGTAAATCCTCGATGAGTGTCAGAAGGTTTCTCGTCACTGACAAGGAGATCTACAGGTCTAACGTTGGCTTTCTAATTTGATTTGGGACAGTGATAGAGCTTGGAATTTTGAAGCCAATGATATTTTTTTTAGCCACATGTAGCTATTAGTTTATGAAATATTTAATGCTCAGTGCCGAGGAGTCTTCGAACACTCGTACCACAATTTTTGTAATATTAAAAGACGAATTATGATAAGAAAGTTTGAAGAATAAAGTTAATTTAATAATACTTACTATTTATTGTGAATTATATTAATAATTATATGTATTGCAAATGTCTTCTATAGTGAAGTTTTATAAAGTAAAAAATTACTTTGTATTTCACTATATGTATATTGTAGGAATGCAGTACAATCGAGTCATTTTAATTATTGTTACTGGTTGAATTAATTAGAAATAAAGTTACAAGTTATGTGGAAATAAAGTATAGAAATGTATTTAGTTAAACAATATTTAGATTAAAGTGGACTAAAGTCAGGTATCGATTTATATTCACTAAATATTAAGCAAAAGTGATGACTAACATGGAGATTTCAATGCCTGCACAGGAAGGGGTCCTTAGTTATTTGATTTATTACTACTAGATTGCCAAGAGTTGTAAAAGAAATTTATGCTTATTTATAATATGTCAATATTATCATTTATAAAATGAATATTTCCACACCTACCATATTTTCCCAACACAAAAATAAGGTACACAATAAATTAATTCACTCTACAGCAATATGTCACTTTTCTTAAAAATGATTTTTAGAATCTCTGAATATATAATGTGAAATTTATTGGGTGAAAAACTTTCCTAAAAATCCTATTACAATCAAAAACCCTGTAATATTCATATTTGTAATAAAGATGAAATGTTTCAAGAAATGTCTCCGATCAAATATACATTCTAACTGCAATCGAGGAAGTAGTGACATCGACCTTGATACAGTGCAATAATGCTGAATAGTGTTGCTCAATCGAGCGATAAATCGGTGATATGCTAACGTAAGGAAGCAGGTGATAAAGCAAAATACTATTCAAGTCTTTAAACCACATTTTTAAACTGTCTGAAATTACCACAATTCAACTGTAGAACAATTGGAACAAAATAATAAAGATGAAATTATTTTAATTGAAGTTATTTAGATTTTTACAATAATTTATTGCCACATAAATTACATTAATAGCTCAGATATAATAATACAAATGTCGAACGTTCCAGCGTTATTTTCACCGACAGCACTGCCAAGAATAATTTCATTCAGGCCGAAGTGAATTTCCTCGAATACCACGCGAGCTATTCAAGCATGGGCGTAGCCAGAGGGGCATCCCCCCTCAGAGGAAAAAAATAACCTGTCATACCCTAGTGGGGAAAAATTGAATTTATGAAATTTACCAGAATAATATTGTATAAATAATATTATGAATCTTACTAGAAGAAAAAATAACCTTTATTCTTTTCTAGAAGTGAAAACTTGTTCCCCCCTCTGCCTCGAGAAGAAAAATAATATTATGAAATTTACCTTAATATAAATTTTGTCTACTCCGTCTTAAAGGAAAAAAATGGCCTTTGCCATAACCTAGAGGGGAAAAATTTGGATCTTGCCCCCCTCCCGGCCCCTCTCCGTGAAGGAGAAAAATATTATTATGAAATTTACCTTAAGATAAAATTTGCCCCCCTGCCCCCACCCCAGAGAAAAATTATATAATGAAATTTACCTTAGGATAAATTTTGTTCCCCCCTCCCCTTCGACTTACAACCTGGTTACGCCTATGTATTCGAGCACGGTTTTCATCCACCTATACGCCGTCCGCGAGCGCTGTCGCGCGATGTGACACAAGTGGTGCGTTCAGATTTCTTTTCGCGAAGCAAGAAACGTTGCGACAGTTATCCTGGTTCAGAGACCACCTCGCGCTCATTGTTCGCCTGCTGACCTGAACGGAACCGCGAGCATGTCGCCAACGCTTCGATAACGATATGGAAGTGGTCGAGACAATCTCCGATACACCTATCGGATTGAAATACGTGACATTTAGGAATTCGTGTGAGACAACTACCATACTCCATCGTGTCACAAGAATGTTCTCACGGAACTAACATAATTAAAAATATAATAATCTTCTATTATTGTTTAAATTACGCACAATATGGTATAATATGGACACATGTGTTGAGGATCGTTGTAAAGGGATAGCAAGAAAATGGTGACAAAACGGTTCGTTAAATAAATGCAACGACTTTAATGTTAAATCGTAACAAACACGTCGCCCTGTCCCATCGAAACCAGCATTCTACAATATCTATCTATAAAATGTTATACATACATACAAAACTGGTCTACAAACCGGAAACAAAAACGTTAACAAAAACACTGTCTGAGGGTATGAGGTACAAGATCATCGACTCTAGAATCATCGAGTATAATCACCAGAAGACTGCGTAGAAACCAAAACAATCTACAGTCGCTATTTCAAGGCTAACCCCCACCACTGTCCAATAACCGCCGCATGGTGTCGCTGCTGGCCCAAGTCGCGGTGGCGGGGACTCTAGCAGACGAGCAACTGTCATCCAGCGTCACCAGATCGAGGGAAACAAAGAACAAAATTGGTTGATAGTGGGGGAAAATTGGATAGTAAAGGGTAAAAGTTAGATGTTAGTGTAGGAAACTAGTACAGCTGTGTATGTGCTGCTTTACTCTTGCTGATGAGGGAATTCCCTCGAATGGGAATTCTCCTGGCAACGCTGCTGCTATCCAACCATAACACAGTACAGTAAACCCTCAATGAGTGTTCGAAGTCACTGACAAGTAGAAATCTCCAGGTGTAACTTTGACTTTTTAATGAAGTTTAGTACACTGATAGAGCTTAGAATTCTGACGCAAATATTTGTTTCAGCCGCATACGGCCATTAGCTTATGAAATATTTAACCCTCAGTGCCGAGAAGCCTCGGAACACTCATCAAGGATATACTGTACTCCAACCACAACATGACATACATTCAAGTATCGAAATCGATGGAAAAATTTTCTAATCAAAATCCACGGGTGTTCCGATTTCTAGAGTCGATCACACGCGATCGTCCATCACCAATGGTTCTGGACGTAGGGCTCCGGATAAGACAGATGGGAGATTTTCGAGATCTGGTCAGCATGGGCGGCCAGGTGGGCAGCCTTCGCGTGTGCCACTTCCGGTGTGTCGATCACACGTCCGTCGTGCGCCAATGGGGCTGGAGGTCCGTGGTACAGGGGCTGCGCGACGTATGATGCGCCGTAGTCTTCGTATTTGCCGTCCGAGTAGTCAGCTGCGTAACCGAGCGATGAAGCCTTCGAGGCTTCCGCGGCGTGCGCCGCCAGGTGCGCTGCCTTCGCATGAGCCACTTCGGGGGTGTCCAGAACTCGGCCGTCGTGGGCCAATGGGGCTGGCGGACCGTGATAGGCGGAGCCATAGACTGTATAAGGGGCGTAACCCGGTACTGCGGACGCCGAGAGGACGAGGCACGAGAGGAGAAGCTGAAAATTTTTTCGCGGAGAATTAGAATACAATAAAATGTGGGTGACTGAATGTAGTGGCAGTTGAAAATAGATTTTACTAGTTGAAAATTAACTGTCCACGCTATGATTAACAAAACTAACCATAGATATTAATGTTGCTTTAGTTGAAATCGAATTTGCAAGCAATATGAATTACAAGATAACCTGAAATTTTCATTAGATAAATACTACTGTTCTCACAAAACAAATCTTGAGAACATGATATAGAATATTTTTAATGAACATCAAACTATTCCAACGAAACAACGAATAAAATATTTTCGGGCAAAATTAAAATACAATTAAAAGTGGGCGATTTAATGTATTATAGTGGCAGTTGGAAATAGATTTTTGGATCCTATGGAAAGGAAGACTGGATCCACCGAAATAAATGTTAAACTGAATGTTAATTTCGTATAAATTTTAGTAACTTCTGAAACCAAGTAAAAGTAGACCCCTACGTTACTTTTTCCCCCAGCGAAAGCGGAATCATGTCAGTGTCACACAAAAAATACTAGAAGCTTTGGTACCAACAAGGATCCGATTATTCCCCCAATGTTGAATTACACTACCAGTTCGTTGACAATAAAATCAAGATTCAACAGGCGTGTCCGAATCAGGTGTAAAAACAATAACCGGTGTCGTTACTCACGAGGGACCTCATGTTCGCTATAGGATCCACGAGCTGATGGTTTTCTGCGGAGCGTACGGGCCGAGGTACACCTTATATAGTCGTGGAACAATACAAGGCGCCCACTTCGACGGTGGTAAACAACGACCACACCGGTGCGAAATATTTACACGCACACGCGTCCCGACTGATTTTCACATAATGAGCACCGTACTGGCTAGGGAAGCGGTGACGG